TGTGTGTTGTGTGTGTTTTGTGTGTTGTATGTATTTTGTGTGTGTTGTATGTATTTTGTGTGTGTGTTGTGTGTGTTTTGTGTATTTTGTGTGTGTTTTGTGTGTTGTGTTGTATGTATTTAGTGTGTGTTTTGTGTATTTTGTGTGTGTTTTGTGTGTTGTATGTATTTTGTGTGTGTTTGTGTGTTGTGTTGTATGTATTTTGTGTGTGTTTGTGTGTATTTTGTGTGTATTTGTGTGTATTTTGTGTGTATTTTGTGTGTTTTGTGTGTGTGTTGTGTGTTTTGTGTGTTGTATGTATTTTGTGTGTGTTGTGTGTGTTTTGTGTATTTTGTGTGTTGTGTGTGTGTTTTGTGTATTTTGTGTGTTGTGTGTGTGTTTTGTGTATTTTGTGTATGTTGTGTGTGTTTTGTGTGTATTTTGTGTGTATTTTGTGTGTGTTGTGTGTGTGTTGTGTGTTTTGTGTGTGTGTTGTGTGTGTTGTGTGTGTGTTTTGTGCGTTTTTAACTCACTGTTGATGGAGTCGACAAAATAGTGAAACTTCCTCTTGAAAATGTCCAGAGCGTGAGAGAGAACCTGAGAGAAGTCGGCCTGTCCCAGAGCGATGAGAGACAACTGCTTCTCCACAGCGCTGCGAATCCACGGGAGCACCAACTCTGCATCTGAACGCACAACAACACACACAACACACACACATGAACACACAGCACAATACACAACACACTCACACACACGAACACACAACACACACACACACACACACATGAACACAACACAACACACATGAACACACACACACACAACACACACAACATGAACACACACACACACACACACAATACACAACACACACACACTCACACACACACACACACACACATGAACACACACACACACAACACACACAACATACAACCACACACAGACACATGAACACACAACACACACACATGAACACACAACACACACACACACAATACACAACACACACACACTCACACACAACACACACACATGAACACACACACACACACACATGAACACACACACACACACACACACACACACACACACATACACACATGAACACACAACACGAACACACATGAACACACACACACACACACACACACACACATGAACACACACACACACAACACACACACATGAACACACAAGACACACACACACACACACACACACACACACACACACACAGAACACACACACACACACACATGAACACACACACACACACACACATGAACACACACACACACACACACACACACACACACATACAACACACACACAGAACACACACAACACACACACACACACACACACACACACACACATGAACACACACACACACACACACACACACACACACACACACACACACACACACACACACACACACACACACATGACACACACACACACACACACACACACATGAACACACACACACACACACAACACACACATGAACACACACACACACACACACACATGAACACACAACACACACACACACACACACACACATGAACACACACACACACACACACACACACTGAACACACAAGAACACACACACACACACACACATGACACACACACACACAACACACACACACACACAGAACACACACACACACACACACACACACACACAACACACACACATAAACACACAACACAATACACAACACACTCACACACAACACACACACACGAACACACAACACAACACACACACATGAACACACAACACAACACACACACACGAACGCACACACACAACACACAACACACACACATGAACACACAACACAATACACAACACACAACACACACATGAACGCACAACACAACACACATGAACACACAACACACACAAACACACAACACACACACACATGAACACACAACACAACACACATGAACACACAACACACACACATGAACGCACAATACACACACATGAACACACAACACAACACACATGAACACACAACACACACAACATACAACCACACACAGACACATGAACACACAACACACACACATTAACATACAACACACACATGAACACACAACACACACACATGAACACACAACACACACACATGAACACACAACACAACACACACACACACGAAACGCACACAACACAACACACACACATGAACACACAACACAATACACAACACACGAACACACACGAACACACAACACACACACACGAACACACACAACACACACACATGAACACACAACACAACACACACACACACACGAACGCACACACACAACACACACACGAACACACAACACAATACACAACACACAACACACACACACATGAACGCACAACACACACACATGAACACACACACACAACACACATGAACACACACACAACACACACAACATACAACCACACACAGACACATGAACACACAACACACACACATGAATATACAACACACACATGAACACACAACACAACACACACACGAACGCACACACACAACACACACAACACACACACATGAACACACAACACAATACACAACACACACACTCACACACACACACACACGAACACACACACATGAACGCACAACACACACACATGAACACACACAACACACACACACACACACATGAACACACAACACACACACACACATACATGTTTTTGTCACCTTGTGGGACCACCTGACTAGATCGTGCCTTGTGGGGACCACCCTTTCTGAAGGTTCTAGAGCAGCCAAAAAAAATCAGGCACTGCCCCCTAGAGTTCCTAAACAATAATATCACCTCAAAATCCCAATTCTCCATAAAAAACTAACTTGACCAGACTGAGCACCCACTTGTGGGAACTTTTCAGGTCTTTAGGTACTTGTGAGATCCAAACATGCCCACTTTCTGGTTTTTGTATACTTGTAGACCGAAACATACACACTCTCAGGTTTTTAGGTAGTTGCAGGCCACAGCATGCACACAGCAATTAAAACAATGTAAATACCGTATTTTCTGGACAAAAAGCTGCTACTTTTTCCCTAGATTTTGAACCATGAGGCTTAAATAAAGGTGCGGCTATTCTGTGGATTTTTCTTCCACCGCTAGGGGCGCTCTAACCGAAATTAGAATAAAAAATAAGATAGACGAAAAATCTATGCAAAGAAGAATACGGTACTTTTTCTTCAGCAGATAGAACACGCACGAGAAATTACCAACTGGTAATTATTTTAAAATCCTCGCCCCTTCATCATGGAAATGGCACGAAGAAGTTCGTATGATGCACGTTTTAAGCTGAAGGCCATCGATCTTGCTATCCAGGAAGGAAACCGCGCTGCTGCACGCAAGCTTAGCATCAATGAATCTATGGTGAGACGATGGAGGCGTCAGCGTGAAGAGCTCATACAATGCCAAAAGTCAAAAAAGGCTTTCAGAGGACATAAAAGCAGGTGGCCTGAACTTGAAAATGTCCTGGAGGACTGGGTGAACACACAGAGAGCAGGTGGCCAAGGTGTATCCACTGTACAGATCCGACTGAAAGCCAAAACAATCGCCCGCGAAATGAATTTTGAAGATTTTAAAGCTGTCATGGTGTTTCCGAGTTATGAGACGTAAAAACCTGTCCATTAGGGCACGGACCACTCTCTGTCAGCAACTCCCTGCTGACTATCAGGAAAAAGTTGAAAATTTCCACAAATTCGTTGAAACAAAGATACAAGAAAACTCCATCAGACCAGACGACATCATAAATATGGATGAAGTACCTTTGACGTTTGATCTGCCTCTAACCAGGACTGTTAACAAGACAGGTGCATCATCCGTGTTGTTGAAAACAACAGGCCACGAGAGAACGCATGTCATGTTAACTTTGTGGGCTACTGTGAGTGTTACTGAATAATAGTAACAAAACAAAACAAACAAAAAACTAATTCACTCTGTCTCCACTTCTATATTTACTTTTCAACGTTTATGGCACTAGATTACGTTTATGGCACTACATATTTTAAAAGGTTGGGCAAAACGTGGAATGAAAAGAGTCTGTAAGCCACTGTCCCCGGTGTTGATGTGTTGTATATATCACGTGTTGTTACTTCCTGTGGGCGTGGTCAGCCTGATGGACCTGCAGGTCGCTCAGACTGACCACGCCTCCAGTGGCCCGGTGTTCTCTGGAGGAGGGTGTCCCAGGTGTGTGAAAGGAGAAACAGTCCGTCATCAAGTCCAAACGCTGGATCAGGGAGGACGGTGAAATCAGGAAACGAGGCACTGACAGCATTAACTTTGATGAGCGTTCCTCCTCCACACACCTGGGACTCCCTCCTCCAGAGAACACCGGGCGACAGGAGGCGTGGTCAGTGTGAGCGACCTGCAGGTCCTTCAGGCTGTGTGTGTTGTGTGTGTTGTGTTTGTGTGTGTTGTGTGTGTGTGTGTGTGTGTGTGTGTGTTTGTGTGTGTGTGTTTGTGTGTGTTTGTGTGTGTGTGTTGTGTGTGTTGTGTGTTTGTGTGTGTGTTGTGTGTGTTGTGTGTGTGTTGTGTTTGTGTGTGTGTTGTGTTGTGTGTGTGTTGTGTGTGTTTGTGTGTGTTGTGTGTGTGTTTGTGTGTGTTGTGTGTGTTTGTGTGTTGTGTGTTTGTGTGTGTTTGTGTGTGCTGTGTGTGTGTGGTTTGTGTGTGTTGTAGAGCCCGACCGATATGGATATTGTTGTGGCCGAATATGAAACCGATATAATGGGAGTTGGAGCTGCCGATACAGTCGCCGATATATTTAGTGATGTAAAAATTCACTGTAAATCTTGAATTGTATAAAAAACTTAGGTTTGGCTACTAAAGTAAGCTACCACTATTAGCCTTTAGCAGTAAATGCTGCGCACCGCGGTAATCAATTATATGCATAAATGTGGATCATTCACACGTCTATTCACAGCTCATTTACATATCAATACAGGTCCATTAACAAATATACGGCCAATACAGTCACTTTACAATAGACCAATAGAAAACAGCCTGTTTATGTGTGGGAGCTACAGCAGCTAATCGCTAACCTAAACTGGCTTCAAAGTCGATGTATTTCCAACACTCAGCCTCACACAGGTCCTCCTCACATCACAAATCTGCACTAATAAAAGTCCTTTTAATCCAGACTCAAGACGATTGTCCGTAAAAAGAATATAATCTCAGTGTTGCGCACATGGATCTGTGTCTGCGGGTGTAAACAAGAACACGTGAGTGACGCGACTCTGTGGTGTGTTCAGGGACAGTACGGACACACACACAGACAAATGACTCCGCAGATAAATACTGATGTGGAGCCACATATTAGGTCATTTATCTGTCGGTAAATCGGATTAAATGAACATAATGTAGAAAGGCTAAGATTTATAACGAGGTGTAACATGCCCACGTGAAATATCGGCCCATATCAGCAAGCATATCGGCCGATAGCCAATATGCCTCCAGGTGCCCATATCAGCCGATAATATCGGCCAACCGATATATCGGTCGGGCTCTAGTGTGTTGTGTTCTGTGTGTTGTGTTGTGTGTGTTGTGTGTGTGCGTTGTGTGTGTGCGTTGTGTGTGCGTGTTGTGTGTGTGTGTTGTGTGTGCGTGTTGTGTGTGCGTTGTGTGTTGTGTGTGCGTTGTGTTGTGTGTGTGCGTTGTGTTTGTGTGTGCGTTGTGTTTGTGTGTGTTTGTGTGTGTTGTGTGTGTGTGTGTGTGTGTGTGTGTGCGTTGTGTTGTGTGTGTGTTGTGTTGTGTGTGTGTGTGTGTGTGTGTGTTGTGTGTGTGTGTGCGTTGTGTGTGTGTGTGTTGTGTGTGTGTGTGTGTGTGTTGTGTGTGTGTGTGTTGTGTGTGTGTGTGTGTGTGTTGTGTGTGTGTGTGTGTGTGTGTGTTGTGTTTGTGTGTGTGTGTTGTGTGTGTGTGTGTGTTGTGTGTGTGTGTGTGTGCGTTGTGTGTGTGTGTGTGTGTGTGTGTGTGTGTGTTGTGTGTGTGTATGTGTGTGTATGGTGTGTGTGCGTCAGTACCTATGCGGTGGTACCCGTGCACCAGGACGATGCCCAGGTTTGTGGGTTTGAGGCGTCGTCCGTTCTCCACGGTCACGTAGTTCCTCTGGCAGATGTTGTTGATGTGAACGGGGATACTGGCGTCTGTACCTGCACAGGACACACACGGACGCTACACACATGTCTATGGTGGAATGTTCAGCGGTTACCGTGGAGACACGTGCACACACACACACACACACACACACACACACGTGTTCTACGATCATGTGAAAAGTGTTGAAAAAGTCCCACAGTGATTTAAAGGGACATGATACTGTGTGTCAGTGTGTGTTGGTCATGTGTCGTGTGTGTCAGTGTGTGTCGGTTGTGTGTCAGTGTGTGTCGGGTGTGTGTGTGTCGGTGTGTGTCGGGTGTGTGTCGGTGTGTGTCGGGTGTGTGTCGGTGTGTGTGTCGGTGTGTGTGTCGTGTGTGTCAGTGTGTGTGTGTGTCAGTGTGTGTCAGTGTGTGTCGGGTGTGTGTCGGGTGTGTGTCAGTGTGTGTCGGGTGTGTGTCGGGTGTGTGTCGGTGTGTGTGTGTGTGTCGGGTGTGTCGTGTGTGTGTGCGGTGTGTGTCGGGGTGTGTGTCGTGTGTGTCGGGTGTGTGTGTGTGTCGGGTGTGTGTCGGGTGTGTGTCGGGTGTGGTGTCAGTGTGTGTCAGTGTGTGTCAGTGTGTGTCGGGTGTGTGTGTGTCGGTGTGTGTGTCGTGGTGTGTGTCGGGTGTGTGTCGGGTGTGTCGTGTGTCGGGTGTGTGTGTGTGTCGTGTGTGTGTCGGTGTGTGTCGGGTGTGTGTGGGGGTGTGTGTCGGTGTGTGTCAGTGTGTGTCGGGTGTGTGTCGGGTGTGTCAGTGTGTGTCAGTGTGTGTCGGTGTGTGTCGGTGTGTGTCGGGTGTGTGTCGTGTGTGTCGGTGTGTCAGTGTGTGTCAGTGTGTGTCAGTGTGTGTCGGGTGTGTGTCGGTGTGTGTCGGGTGTGTGTCAGTGTGTGTCGGTGTGTGTCAGTGTGTGTCAGTGTGTGTCAGTGTGTGTGTGTGTCGGGTGTGTGTCGGGTGTGTGTGTGTGTCGGGTGTGTGTCAGTGTGTGTCGGTGTGTGTCGGTGTGTGTCGGTGTGTGTCGGGTGTCGGGTGTGTGTCAGTGTGTGTCAGTGTGTGTCAGTGTGTGTCGGGTGTGTGTGTGTCGGTGTGTGTCGGTGTGTCAAGTGTGTGTCAGTGTGTGTCGGTGTGTCGGTGTGTGTCGGGTGTGTGTCGGTGTGTGTGTGTGTCGGGTGTGTGTCGGGTGTGTGTCGAGTGTGTGTCGAGTGTGTGTCGGGTGTGTGTCGGTGTGTGTCGGTGTGTGTCAGTGTGTGTCGGGTGTGTGTCGGTGTGTGTCGGTGTGTGTCGGGTGTGTGTCGGGTGTGTGTGTGTCGAGTGTGTGTCGGTGTGGTGTCGGTGTGTGTGTCGGGTGTGTGTCAGTGTGTGTCAGTGTGTGTCGAGTGTGTGTCGAGTGTGTGTCGGGTGTGTGTCGGGTGTGTCGTGTGTGTGTGTCGGTGTGTGTGTCAGTGTGTGTCAGTGTGTGTGTCAGTGTGTGTGTCGGTGTGTGTCGGGTGTGTGTCGGGTGTGTCGAGTGTGTGTCGAGTGTGTGTCGAGTGTGTGTCGGTGTGTGTCGGGTGTGTGTCGGGTGTGTGTGTGTCAGTGTGTGTCAGTGTGTGTGTCAGGTGTGTGTCAGGTGTGTGTCGGTGTGTGTGTCGGGTGTGTCGGGTGTGTGTCGAGTGTGTGTGTCGGGTGTGTGTCGGGTGTGTGTCGGTGTGTTGTCGGTGTGTGTGTGTCGAGTGTGTGTCGGTGTGTGTCGTGTGTGTGTGTCGGGTGTGTGTCGGGTGTGTGTCAGTGTGTGTCAGTGTGGTGTCAGTGTGTGTCAGTGTGTCGTGGTGTGTCGAGTGTGGTGTCGGGTGTGTGTCGGGTGTGTGTCGGTGTGTCGGGTGTGTGTCAGTGTGTGTCAGTGTGTGTCAGTGTGTGTGTGTGTGTCGGGTGTGTCGGGTGTGTGTCGGTGTGTGTGTGTGTGTGTCGGTGTGTCGGGTGTGTGTGTCGGGTGTGTGTCGGGTGTGTGTCGGTGTGTGTGTCGGGTGTGTGTCGGTGTGTGTCGTGTGTGTCAGTGTGTGTCAGTGTGTGTCAGTGTGTGTCAGTGTGTGTGTGTGTGTGTCGGGTGTGTCGGGTGTGTGGGTGTGTGTCGGGTGTGTCGTGTGAGTGTCGAGTGTGTGTCGGGTGTGTGTCGGTGTGTGTCGGTGTGTGTCGGGTGTGTGTCAGTGTGTGTCAGTGTGTGTCGTGTGTGTCGGGTGTGTGTGTGTTGTGTGTGGTCGGGTGTGTGTCGGGTGTGTGTCGGTGTGTGTCGGTGTGTGTGTGTGTGTGTCGGTGTGTGTGTCGGGTGTGTGTCGGGTGTGTGTCGGGTGTGTTACCGATGCCGTGTTTCTCCATGAGTGTGATGAGTTCGGCCTCGGTCAGATAGTCCGGGGGGCAGGTTTGTTTCTCCACCAGTCGCACTTCGTCCACACTGAACACGTCTCCACGATCACAACTCGGCAACGCCTCCTCCAGAGGAATGCCCTGCCACGGCATCACCGACGTGAACCCTGAACACACAACACACACGTCAGACACACAACACACACACACACAACACACATGTCAAACACTAACAACAAACGTCAGACACACAACACACAACAAACACACACAACAACACACAAGTCAGACACACAATACACACACAACACACATGTCAAACACACACAACAAATGTCAGACACACAACACACACACACAACACACATGTCAAACACTAACAACAAGCGTCAGACACACAACACACAACAAACACACACACACACACACACACACACAACACACATGTCAAACACTAACAACAAACGTCAGACACACAACACACACACAACAAACACACACACAACAACACACAAGTCAGACACACAATACACACACAACACACATGTCAAACACACACAACAAACGTCAGACACACAACAAACACACACACACAACACACATTTCAGACACACAACACACACACAACACACACAACATACAACACACAACACAAACACACACAACACACACGTCAGACACACAACAGACACACGTCAGACACACAACAAACACGTCAGACACACAACACCACACAATACACACGTCAGACACACAACACACAACAAACACACAACACACACACACACACAACACACATGTCAAACACACACAACAAACATCAGACACACAACACATACATGTCAGACACACACAACACACACACACAAAACACTTTGGCAGATGACAAACCCTCAGGATTAATATTTGTGGATGTTTCACCAAGTGTAATTGAACACGTCACAAACTGGACGACATGAAAACGAGGCCGACATACAAACACACATTGTCCTTTTACTTTGCTCACTTCAGTTTTGTAACGTTAAACAAATATTTGTTTCCAAACCCCAAAGTATTAAGGAGGTCACATGACTTCTCCTCATCTGGTCCTGGTCTAGTACCTGGTCCTGGTCCTGGTCCTGGTCCTACCTAGTCCTAGTCCTAGTCCTAGTCCTAGTCCTGGTCCTGGTCCTAGTCCTGGTCCTAGTCCTGGTCCTAGTCCTGGTCCTAGTCCTGGTCCTAGTCCTGGTCCTGGTCCTGGTCCTGGTCCAGTACCTGGTGAGATCAGGGTTTTGCCGGTGCAGCTGAAGGTCTCAGGTCCGATGCTGAAGCAGATGGACGTCTGGAGGAACCTGCAGTCCTCACTCACCGACGAGATGAAGTGACGCGTGATGTAATCGAACAGACGCCAACCGTCAGAACCTGGAGAACATGATGAACACAAGACACGAGGAACAGACGCTATCACTGGTGACATGACTGACCTAACTCCACCTCGCTCGCCGCTCTTGTGTGTGTGTGATGTGTGTACATGTGTGTACGTGTGTGTGTGATGTGTGTGTGATGTGTGTACGTGTGTGTGTGTGTGTGTATAGTGTGTGTGTATGTGTGTGTGTGTACGTGTGTGTGTGTGTGTGTGAGGTGTGAGTACGTGTGTGTGTGATGTGTGTGTGTACGTGTGTGTGTGGTGTACGTGTGTGTGTGATGTGTGTGTGTGTGTGAGGTGTGTGTGTGTGTGATGTGTGTACGTGATGTGTGTACGATGTGTGTACGTGTGTGATGTGTGTACGTGTGTGTGTACGTGTGTGTGTGTACATGTGTGTGTCTGTGTGTGTGAGATGTGTGTACGTGTGTGATGTGTGTACGTGTGTGTGTACGTGTGTGTGTGTGTACATGTGTGTGTGTGTCTGTGTGTGTGAGATGTATGTATGTGTGTGTGTGTGTGATGTGTGTACATGTGTGTGTGTGATGTGTGTGTGAGGTGTGTGTACGTGTGAGTGAGTGTGTGTGTGTGTATGATGTGTGTGTGTACGTGTGTGTGTGTACGTGTGTGATGTGTGTGTGTGTGTGTGTGTGTGTGTGTGTGTGTGTGTGTACGTGTGTGTGTGTGTGTACGTGTGGTGTGTGTGTGTGATGTGTGTGTATGTACGTGTGTGTGTGTGTGTACGTGTGTGTGATGTGTGTGTGTGTGTGATGTTAGTGTGATGTGTGTGTGTGATGTGTGTGTACGTGTGTGTGTGTGGTGTGTGTGTGATGTGTGTGTATGTACGTGTGTGTGAGGTGTGTGTACGTGTGTGTGTGTGTGTGATGTGTGTGTATGTACGTGTGTGTGTGTGTGTGTACGTGTGTGTGAGGTGTGTGTGTGTGTGTGTGTGTGTGTGTGTGAGGTGTGTGTGTTCTGACCCAGCTCGGTCTCGCTCGCCGCTCTCATGGGGGTGATGGGGGGGTGGTCTCCGGCGTCGGTGCCTTTCCTCGGACGATTCAACCCCGACGCCAACAGAGCCCTCACCTGAAGTCACATGACACACACACACACACACAGGTGAGACACACACACACACACACACACACTCACACACAGGTGAGACACACACACACACACAGGTGAGACACACAAAAACACACTCACACACAGGTGAGACACACACAGGTGAGACACACACACACACACACACTCAGACACAGGTGAGAGACACACACACACACACACACACAGGTGAGACACACACACATCAGGGGTCCCTCTCCTGTCCATCCCGTCACCTTTAGTCCCTCATCTGTGGGACCACAGGTGACGACCACAGGTCCTCATAGCCCCACCCCTTACCCCGCCCATCACCTCGTAGCCCCGCCCCTCACCCCGCCCATCACCTCGTAGCCCCGCCCCTCACCTTGGCGCTCCCCCTGTAGCCCCGCCCCTCGGCGCTGCAGTGTAGCCCTGCCCCTCACGCAAGCGCACCCCCCGTAGCCCCGCCCATCACCTCGTAGCCCCACCCCTCACCTCGGCACTCCCCTGTAGCCCCACCCATCACCTCGTAGCCACGCTCCTCACCTCGGCGCTCCCCCCGTAGCCCCGCCCATCACCCTGTAGCCCCGCCCCTCACCTCGGCGCCCCCCCCCCGTAGCCAGGCCAAACACCTCGTAGCCCCGCCCCCACCTCGACACTCCCCTGTAGCCCCACCCCTCACCTCGGCGCTCCCCCCGTAGCCCCGCCCATCACCCCGTAGCCCCGCCCCTCACCTCGTAGCCCCGTCCCTCACCACGGCGCTCCCCCCGTAGCCCCGCCCATCTCCTCGTAGCCCCGCCCATCACCTCGTAGCCCCGCCCATCACCTCGTAGCCCCGCCCCTCACCTCGGCGCTCCACTGGGGCGTGTTGGCCTGCTGCTGCAGCGCCCCCTTCAGGTCGAAGTTGTCGGGGTAGTGTGTGGTCTCTGTGCGCGGGTAACTGATGTAACCCTGAGTGTAGAGACGCTCAGCCACCTGCATCGTGTGTTGAGGACCCAGACCTGGAACGGAACCAGAACCACCACCAGGACTCAGACAGGACTCAAACAGGACTCAAACAGGACCAGGACCAGGACCAGGACCAGGTCTAGATCAGGTCTTACCCAGGGCAGAGCTGGCAACTCGGAGCATCTCGACGGTGTTCAGAGCCTGAGGTCTCTGTTTGACCTTCTCCTTCTTACTCACCGACTCCACCTGCAGGACAAACATGGAACTGTCACGACCTGAGCTCACGGGACTCACAGGGGGACGGGGGCGGGGACAGGGGGCGGGGACAGGGGATGATGTACCTTGGCTTCTTTGGAGGTTTTGGCCAGATTGACAAACATATGTCCCACGTCTCGATCGAAAACACGAACTCTGCTCCAGTCCAGAGTCACGGGACTGTCCTTCCCCTTGAACACCTGACACACAACAAGACCCGCTTTAGTCCTGCTCTGGTCCTGCTCTAGACCCGCTTTAGTCCTGCTCCAGACCTGCTCCAGACCCAGTTTAGTCCTGCTCCGGTCCTGCTCTAGACC